TTTTTTTTTTTTTTTTTTTTTTTTTTTGTCTTTCTTCTTGTTTTTGTAAGATTAACTGCAAATTCATATATATAGTTAAAAAAATAAAATAAAAATAAAAATAAAAAAAAAAAGACGAAACCTACAAATTAAGTTGTCATAAAAAAAAAAAAAAAAAAACCGAAACCTACAAATTAAGTTGTCATGTGGGCCTATAATCACTATCAAGGGACTAAATCTTTCTCAGGATTTAATTGCACAAATGGAACCGGCCAGTAACATGTGGGAAAGGAAGAGTGTTGCAGCAAGCCAATCTCAAGGAGTCTCTTGTGAATGGCAGCATCTTAAGTTTTATTCTAACACATATCACTCTGGTTAGATAAATTATCCAAACTGTTCTAGAAATATTGGAGCCATATTCATGGGTGGTTCAAGCTCAAGAAAATGGGTCACGTTTCTGAATTCATGGCCTCCATTGATAAAGAGCTTCAAGAACAAATTAATTAAAGCAATTAAAAGGTTGGAAGTTCATATGAGTTGTTTGATCAACTTGGCTACTGAATGGGTACAAGAAGTAGAAAGCACACCTACAAAGAAAGAAGACGAGGATATCCCCAAGCATGAGCAAAAAGCTGAAATGTTATCTAAAGCATTCAATGAGGAGTCTCAATTAACCAAACCTAAGTTTAATTATGATTTTATTATTAATGATACCAATGGCATGGTTGATACAATTTTGTAAGAAAACACTTATGATGATCCAAATTGACTTATTTTAATCAATTAAGGGACAAAAGGGTCGAGAAGGATAATCTCAAGAGACACATAAATTCAAAAAATCATCAAAACCTCCTTGGATGATTCAATTACATACAGAAACCTTATTTAAATGGTGCACTGAGCAAGTATGAAACACCCATTATGATATTCGATCCAAGATGATCATAAGAGGCATGGTATGTTAGAGTATGACCTATGAGTCAATTAGGTGAGTAAGACAATCTTATATATAATTTGTGATTACACTCATTATATTTAATTATGACATTCTTTATCGAACATTAAGTGTTATTTTTTCACATACGTTAAATATTGATCAAATCGAATGATTGTTTTATCAAAATGTAATAGCAATCATCTCTATTAGTGAGAACTGTATGATGTGATAACAACATCCTTAAATTGTCCAATAATTGTATATATCATTAAGATAGGAAATCAATGATATAAAAACTATCACGTGTGTTGCTGTGCTAGCTGACAAGACTTTTTGTCATGAAGTCATGTATCATATGTGGGTGATTCAAAATAAGTGAGTTCATTGGACTCACCAATCATGAGAACTCTACATGTACATGTCATTAGTAGCTTCTCAACTATAATTAAGTGTAAGTAATCCTTAGGCTTGAAATTGTCATTATTCTATGTGGGGACTCCTGTATTTTGATGTTGTTAAAAACAACCATTTTGAAGAGTTGCGAGTAATACAGTTATCAAGCGTTTTATGAATCATATGAAAGTAATGGGTCAAGATAAGATACATTCCTCTCGAGTTTACAAGAAAAGATATTTCTAACCCTTTGATTAAGATGAGACTACTTGAAAAGTTTATGGCAAGAATGAAGGTTCATTTAAGAAGTGGTTGTTTGACACATCAAACTTTAAGGATGATGACACATAGAATGCATCTTGTTTGATGTAGATATCAGTGACGAAAGGATTGAATTACACACATGCATTGCCATATCATATGAAGAGGTTCATCGAAGCCATCAACAATTTCTGTCTCTTTGGGTGGCCATGATGCCTTACTAAATACTGCTCTTGTTTTGTCAATGTTTCTCACTGCTATCATGATAGAAACCTAGAAGTTAATGCTTTTGGCGATTGAGATTTCTATAAATTTAAAAATTTATAGATATGGATTAATTTATGTGAAAATAATATTTTCATAAGTGAAATAAATTAATCAATTTATGAATTAAATTCCTAGAGAGATTTAAAAAAAAAAAACAAATTTATTAATTGAGTACAAGGGGTACACAAAGCCGTTTACACAACAAGGTAACTCAACTACAAAAATAGAGGCTTTGAACAATTAGAGAACCTGCGAAAAGCAACTACCTCTAGTTGGTCATTTACTACATTTAGAGGCCCTTGGATTTAGAATCCAATCAGATAATGAGTATCTCCAATCCTTCTGAATTAAATTACTAGAGAGAAATAATTAAATTAAATTAAATTAAATTAAGTTTGGATTATAGTTCTAAGTTAAGGACATCAAAAAGTGACAATTAAATTCTTAGAAACAAATATGGCCAAAACATTAGCCCATTGGCACTTGGCCTTTCGACTTATGGCATTAGCCACCTTGATAGGTGCATCCCTTAACCACTTGGGGCTGGATTCGATCCCTCACCCCCAAATTTCAAATCTGTTCAGATAAAAAAAAAAAAAAACATTAGCCCATTGGGCCCAAGACTTGGATGGCATAATAGGCTCGAAACCTTGGCTAAAAATACCAATCCAATATGGAACTAGGTGTGCAGCAAAAAAAGGGAAATGGAAGAGAAGGAAAGTCTTCTCCTTTCAAGTTTTTTATTTTGACTTAAAAGACTAAATTTGACAATTCTAATTGAATTAGAGTGACAAGTCTTCTTTTCATCAGAAAAAAAAAAAAATTACAAGTCTTCTACTCCTTTAATATTAATAGGTACAAAAAACCTAAATTTCAAATGGAGATTTTTCTCTTATACTAAGATTACTCTACCAAAAATTGAAAGAGATTTAATTGAGTTTTTGATTGCTAGCACTATTGGACATTCAATCTTCTTAAAATCCTTAAGCACACATTTAGATTACTACTAGAGGAATTCTACACTTCAATTCTTTGGTGGGTTCATTGGAAGACGGTGGTCAAGTCTACATATCAATAAGGCACGCATCATTGAGATACTAATTATAAATTCATTTTCAATTGTCAATGAATTTGTGATGCCTCAAATCCACATTGATGGGAAAATATGAGTGTCTTATATGTATAAATGACCAACCATAACTAGCATTGTGAGCTTAAACTTTTAAATGCATGTAGATCTTAATCGACTCAAAAAGTTATTAGGATAAACAAAAATGAAATTGATGATTTAGAAACTGAAAAATTATCTGTATATTTAAGTTAAAAGTTCCTTTATCCGGTTATTATAAAAAAAAAAAAAACTTCTATTTTGTTCTTTTATTTTTATATTTTTTTATAGAGGAAAATGAAGGATAATGAAATGATATAATTCTCCTTATGTTCCCGCGATTCTGCTCAACCCAAAAATATACAGAAGGATAAATCAAAATCAAACTGTAGTAATTAGCTTGAACCACAAGTAGCGGTCATCAAGTTAACCCATTTTGCATGAATTTTTTTTCCCTTTCTTTTTTTTTTTTTTTTTTTTCTCTTTTCGTGTATATCAGAAACCATCTAATCTAATACGATCAATTATCCGAAATTCATTAAAAAGGGAGCGGATGTTTGTTAAGGCAAGAACGGATTTTCCAAAACGGCCTTCTCTTCCCCGGCGCCGGATTCATTAAACTGAAAAAATGGCGTACAGAAGACAGCTGGGGATGACCAGAGCCTCCACCTTCAAGGAGGAAATTAACAATCATGTCGATGACAGCAACGACAAATCTTCCAATCCGCAGTTGACATCGTCGCACTCATTTCCCTCGTCCTCGTTGCATCCGCTATCCACGAGATCACCTTCCGATTCCCTTGCCGCTCAGGCAACTCGTGCCTCCGCCGCTCGCCGCGAGTCCCCTGTATTCGGAGGAGACACTTCTCCTCGATTCGGAGGAGGAGACCAGGACATTTCTCCTAAATCTAAGGTTTCTCTTTCTCCCCTCAATTTCCCTTTTAGTCGCTTTACTGAGAGATTAATTTCATTTTTGCACTTTTTGAAATAAAAGATTCAATCGTAATAACTTTTAGAATAAAAAGAATAAATTATAATTATAATATAGCACGTAATATTATACAAATCATTGAACTTAAACTCAAAATAATTGTATGCTTATCATTTTCCATAATTCATTTAAATCTCATATATTTCGAATTTTCAATGGTGTTTGGAATCCTTCTCATAATTTTAGAATTGACATGAATTTCTGAGATTAATCATTTTGTTCTTATAAGTTCTTAATTTTCCATTTGATCAAAGGGGTTGTTTGTTTATGTTAATTTTTGGGTGAATTTGGTGTGATTACCAAAATTTAGGGCTTCAATGCATGAGGACGCTAGAAATGATAGAAAAGGGTTTTGGGGTGTTTTAGCTCGGAAAGCCAAAGCAATTATTGAAGATGACAATATGTCTCAGAAACTTGAGTCACCAATAACGAGATCGTCCAGATCAGATGTGTTTAATGCCTCAAATGGTCTTCAGGTGATTAGAATTTACTCTCTCTTTTTTTCTTTTCTTTTTTTTTTTTTAATCAGAAATTTCTGTTAATCAGAGACAAGTAGAGATAACTTCTTGTTAATGGTAATTTAATTAGTCTTCAGCTCATTATGTTGGCTTAGTGATGAAGGTGGAGACGGTAGTACATTTAGATCTAATGTTCAAGTTCTATAGCTAGGTTGTTGTCTAATTTTTACGTTGGTTTGTTATAATTTGTAAATTTGTAAATTAGTTTGATTTCATTGTGTCATAT